AAAGGTAGTCTCTGAGATAGAAGTGGCACATATTTACTGGAGTTGGCCTGGGGGATGGGAGCCTCTGTGTCTGACCTCCAGAGTGGAGAGGACTTTTTTTCTGCAACAATGGAGAGTGAATGTTACTGGTGCCCTCACGTTCCTGTGCCTTAACCTCTGCTTGCTGCCACAAAGTTGGAGAGGGATGTTTCTGGCACCCTGGCATTTTCCTGTAGGAACTCTGCGACAAGTGAGGTCTCCTGTATAGAGATGTCAATGCCCTGGTCCACCCATGGATGAGTTCAGTAGGTTTTTCATGGGCTGGCCTAGAAACCTGCCTATAATGCATGACACAGCTGCTCTGGGAAAGTGCATTCTCAACTCATCATCTAATTGCAAGCAGACGCGGGGAACAACATTGGCCTATGACTCAGCCCTTGAATGTTTCCAGGGAGGCTGGGGGCAAACTCCAGGCGTGATTCCAAAGGCCTGGCATGAATGCATCAATAGGGACCTCAAGCAGATCTTCTTTGAAGGACCAGGCACCTTTGTCCCACAGGCCGACAGTCAGGCTGGGCCAGGCTCCTGGTGGGCCCTGGGTCAAGGGCCAATGAATGACTAGACTTTGAGTGCTGCCCATGGCTTTTGACCCCTCCTGTAGTGGGGTCCTACCTACCAACCAGGAAGCCAAAAGCTTCACTGCAGAGCTGTGGCCTGGAAGACAGAAAAGCCATTTTCTTCACCTACAAGAATGTTACTTTTGTCTTCACCGAGGTGATCCAATGAGCCCTAGGACACTTTACTGGAAGATATTTGCAGATGAAAAAATTCCCAGGTAGAGCCTACTCTGGGTTATTTTCAACCCTGCCACAGATTCAGTCCAAGCTATGCATGGTTACCCCATAGACGCTGAGTAGAAAGTGACTCTGCTGACCCACCGTCCTCCGTGTTTTTGTGTGTTCGTGGCCCAAATAAATTTTTTTTAAGAAATTCACTATTTTATTTTATATTTTTAGACAGAGAGAGACAGAGAGTGAGCAGGGGTGGGACAGGGACAGAAAGGGAGAGAAAGAATCCCAAGCAGGCTCTGTCAGCACAGAGTCCGATGAGGGGCTTGACCCTACGAACCTTGAGGTCATGACCTGAGCCAAAATCAAGAGTCAGACGTGGGTGCCTGGGTGGCTTCTGATTTCGGCTTAGGTCATAATCTCATGGTTCGTGAGTTCGCACCCCGCATCCGGTTCTCTGCGGTCAGCAGAGCCTACTTCAGATTCTCTCTCTCCCTCTCTCTTTGCTCCCCACCTGTGTTTTTCTCTCTCTCTCAGAAATAAACGTAAAAACATAAAAAGAGTCAGACACTCGACCGACTGAGTCAGCCATGTGCCCCATGGCCCAAATAATTTTCGAGAGCACTTAATGAGTTATGAGATGCAATGTTCCTTATTCTAATTTGGTTTATACATTGATGCTTATTTGTGTTTGAGGACACATACCAAAAAACCCAACCAACCAAACAAAAAAACTGCTTTTTTTTTGTTGTTGGGGGGCAGGACTGGAGCATGAATCAAAAGTATAAGAATTGAGGGCTGTCTAGCTGGCTCAGTCAGTAGAGCATGTGACTCTTGATCTTGAGGTTGCAAGTTTGAGTCCCACGTTGGGCGTAAAGCTTACATCATTGCCAGATGGGAGCAGGTAGGCTATTGCACCCTTAGAGGCAGAAGTTGGTGAATTTGTTCACCTTGCAGGGATGAATTAATAGTTCCACCAAACTAGTCTGGAGTGTCCCACCATAATACACAAATAAGCAGAATCTTGAATGAACAATTAGGAACTGTGGCCCCATTAAACTCAACATGTATCTTCAGGAGGACTGGAACACAGGTTCCTTTTGAAAGTCATAAAATAAAAGGGTTAAAACTACTTGAGACCCACTGTGCAAATGAAGTCTTTTTTTGATGTCAGTAACCCCTGGTACAATAGGTTGAAGGTACAGGAAGGGGTCCAGTGGCCCAACCAGCTTGTAACAGGCAGAACCGGGCTCTCAGAGTTCATGGGGGCAGACAGCAACTCACAAGGACATCATCTACTCATCTATCTCTCAGTGCCTGACCCAGGGATCATCCTGTAAACCGTTTCAGATAAAGCGCAAGAGTAGCCAGGACTAAAACTTGACATGAACCCCTGAGGTATGAGGTGCACCTTCTGAACAATTCCCCTTTCTTCTCAAATAAGCACCAGCACTGCATTTCAAATAAAGCCATACCTCCCTCCCTCTCTGCTCATTCCTAAGGCAGCCGCAGAAGTGAGCTGTGATTTCCCAATAGTGTCCTGAGCCAAAATGCATGAGGACACATAGGAGCAGATCCAGACTTGCTGGCCCCACAGAGATTACACAAAGCTTGGCCCAAAACATGGAACAATGTGAGCATGTATGAGGTGCTGAACATTCCATTGACGGTCTGCGTGTCAGATGCAATGCTTGCATTCCCACGGGTCTGGCACAAGGCCTGCTTTCTAGGCCTTCAGGTAAACACAGACTCTGCTCCCGAGAAGACACACACTAACAGCCTAATTTGGCTTTTGAGCCTTTTGAGGACAAGACTGCTGTATCTCAAAGCTGTTGCACCTCCCATATCGGGGCTTTTCTGTGCGCAGGAAATTATATACTCTTCCCCCAGGATCACACACATACATACCCATCAGCAGAGCAAGTTGAGGATAAAACACAATTCCCATAAACAGGAACTTTATTAAACTACATGTTACATAAAAGAACATATAAATGAGCCTTTAAATACATTCAGTTCATCTTAAACAAATTTATATAGAAATTTATTTACATTTCTGCATTAGATACTTAAATTATTTTTCAAAGCTTACTACCAATAAAAGGTAATAGAATGATCACCTGCTCACACAGATGCATACACATAGGGTCCACAGGGCTAAGTAAAATGCCGCTTCTCAAGAAACTCAGCTTATTAGATTTCAAAGCAACAACACATTCTGAAGGTGCTTTATTTTAAGCAGGCCTTTGACGTTGAGGCCTCTGCTACGGAGGTGCTGGGGGTTGGTTTGGAGAAGCTGGTCCTGGGGCAGGTGGGTCCTTGGTTGTTGATAATAATAGCTCCCTCTTTGAGCTAAGGGACCTTTAGAAGCCATCACTGAAGCTGTGCCCCGACTTCCGTAGACTGGGAAACAGAGGCTTAGGGAGAGGGAGTGATTTGCCAAAGTCACATAGCATCAGTGACCAAGCAGGGACTGGGACCCTGGTTCCCAGGATCCTACCTGGAGGTCCTGACCCCATCGCTATCCACAAACTTTTGATCTCTTTCGTCCTTTTCCACCCAACCATGGGCCCTGTGCCTTGAATGTTGTTATCTGCACGGTTAAATATAGGATTTCTTAGGCTTTTTGAGATGGTGAAAAACACTATAGGATTCCCATAACCATTTTGTGGGGCCCGTGAAATACGTATTCAAGGCTATTTTTATAAGAGATTTTGCGGTCAGGTGCCTTACTTCTTCAATCATAAAATTTACCTTTTCAATTTGGCTGACTTAGGGAAGCTCAGTTTCCAATTAATTTGGATGAAAGGCAACATTCTACAGGAGGAAGATTGTAACATCAACCATGTGGATTCGCTGAAATCCATTTACCACTGTTGGATCTACACCAAGGTGTCACTACAATTTCAATAAATGACCAAAAGTGAAAAAGAGTGGGGGGTGACTTTAAAATAACAAGAAAGTTTCCAGAATTGCTTCATTTCCTAATTAGCCTCAAAAGGAAGTAGTGAAATGGGCAGTGAGTAGAAACAGTACACGTTTTCTCCCTTTTGAATAAAGCCTTTTTTTCCCAAAAATTTCCTGATGATATAAATTCTCCTGAAAGTAGTTTCTTTTTTTTTGTTGTTTTTGTTTTTAGTTTTTTTTTTGTTTTTTGCTTTTGGTTTAAAAAAATTTGTTTTTTTCTCAGGACTTAAAAACCATTGTACCACAAAGAACAGACATCGACATTAAGAAGCATCATCAGTGGCATAAATAATACGCACAGACCCTCCCGGCTTTGTGTTGCATTCGCAAGAGAAGGAAGGGCTGGCTGCAGGCAGAGAGAGAAGGGAGGGACAAGACTGGGAGACAGAAGGGTTTGTTTTTCCCTGTAACTAGAGCGATCCCAGGTCATAGCAGCCTTCACTCAGTTTTATAAGATACACAAATGGGAAAACACAGAAGGGGCAGGTGTGCTCAAACAGCCCCTCAATGCCTTTCCATTAAAATATGGCACTTCTAAGTTCCAGAAGATCCAGCATTTCTCCCAGGGGCTGCTCCCCGTCTGCAGGGAAGGCGCTGCCCATGGTGCCTGTCCTGAGCACATGGGAGCATCCGATTTCCACACACCAGTCTCACTTTCCCTCCTGCTCACAAGCAAACCCTCACCCGAAGTCACACACAGAAAGAGGAGCAACACAGAGAGCCTTCGAGGAGACGGTGCCAATCACAGAGCACCCAGGGCCTGCAGAGAAGTCCAGTTGCCAGCAATGGACGGTGTGTGGGCAGGTGGAACCCTGAGGCCAGGGAACACAGGAAAATGAAAATGTCTTCATATTAAGGGTTTTGTCTTTTTTCCCAGGAGGCATTTCATTCTGCAAAAGGAACTAAAATATGCAGTTTTTGTAATATTCAAAAATAAGTTTGGAATAGAAAAACTGGCCAAAATTCTTTTACTCTGTACGGAAGAATGTCATCTCAGACATCTATGTTTTTCATGCAGTGTCTGCTTGGGGAGGAGTATGTGAGGTGCCGGCCGTCATGGTGCACATCCAGACGGGGGACTTTACAGCAGGAGGGGTCACAGTGAGTGGCAGTCCACCAGCCTCCTGGACCACACCTTCGGTGACATGAGCGTTAGTGGCTGGCACCAGGGGGTGACTTTATGTGAACAGAGACATCCAGTGCTGGACTGTCACAGGAGTCAGTCCTCACCACCTGAGCCCCCAGCAACGAGAGGACAGACACCTATCACTTCCGTAAGGGATCGAGGATTTTCCCCAGTGTGGTCGGATCTGAGTTTTTCAGTCTGAGGGAGGCCCTTTCCCCAGCCCCTCGGCCCTTTGGAGGTGTCTCTGTGTTGGCACTGGGACCCCCAGCAGACTCCGGACACTTTTTGGGGGCCCGGGCGCTACTGGCCCGCCGCAGGGTGCCGCTGTCCTTGGGGATGGCATCCTCGGGGCTACCCTTCGGCCTTGGCTGACGCTGGGAAACAGTCCGAGTGATGCCAGGAGCCTTGGCCACGGGAGGAGAATCTGTTCTCATGGACCGAGATGAGGACGCAACTGTGTTCCGGGCAAAGCTCGGCACGGGAGGTGGGACACGGGGGACGCTGGGGGGCGGCGGGGCCTTGGGCTCCTCTTCGGGGCTCTCAGAGTTGGAGCGGCAGATCTTATTTTCCTCGGGCTTCTGTCTGGGGACGTTCCTGAGGGGCTTGGCGCTGGGCTTCTTGAACGAGCCCCTGGGCTGCAGGGGGTGCTCCTTCCCGGGCCGGACGCTGCCAGAGCTGCTGCTCCCCCTCGCCAGCTTCGGCTCCTCCGGCACGGTCACAGCCCCTGTAGAGGGCCTCCTGGGCGACACGTCCGAGGTCCCCCGCACGGAGCTCCGGCGCGACCACTGCTGCTGTGCTGGGCTGCTGGGGGTGTCCCCAGAAGGCCGCTTCCAGCCCACCGAGCTGCGGCTTGACCTGGAGATGGGCACCACTTTACGCATGCTCTCGCTCTCGGAGGCTGTCAAGGTCCGCACGGGCTTGGGCGCCGCCCCTTGGCTCCGCCTGGCACTCACTGCCTTGGAGGTCCCTTGGGATGCCTCTCTGAGGGAGCTTCTCTTTGGTGTTGTCGCATCCTTCCCTTTGGCAGGTCTGTCCCTGGGAAGGGCGTCCTTGCAGATGGGCTCACTCTTCCCGGAGAGGGGAGCAGAAGCCTCCCCGGGGGGGCTGGAAGGAGGGTGAGAGGAGACCTGGCTGCCTGTCTCTCCAGCCCCAGAGGACAGGGAGCCATCCCCACCGCCCCCCTCCCCTGGCTCCGAGCAGTCCAGGGTTAGCGAGCAGTCGGTGGCATCCGAGATGTAGAACAAAGGGCCGGGGTCTTTGCTCTCAGGGTCGCTGCTGCCTACAGATACCAGAGCCTCACCACTAGGTTGGTCGGGGGCAGATCCGTTATTCCCCTGCAGGGCTGGGCTGAGATCCCCTGGGGCACTTGAGCTCACAGGCAGCAGGCCACTGTGGCTGGCAGCGAGGGACTGCGTGCTCCCATCCCCCAGAGACACCGGCTCCGCGGAGCTGAGGTCATTCAGGGTCAGCCGGGGCACCTCCTCTGGGCCCTTGGGTCCCTGGAGGTCGAACTGAGCCAGTCCTGTCACCAGCTCATGCTCCTTAATCCCCAGAGCCAATGGTGAGAGAGGAGGGGACCGGGCGGGAGCCAGGCCCATGGGCTCGCTGTTCCTCTTTTGGAGGATGCCCACCCCACTGCGCCGAGCTCGAGGGAAGAGGGGCGCAGGGTCCTCGGGTCGGGGGACTGGGAGCTGGCTCTGCCAAGATGAGGGTGGCTCAGGGGCCTCCTCCTGGCTCTGTGAGGCCTGAGGTCTGCGTGCGTGGCTGGGGTCCTGGGCCCTCGGGCCCCCAGGCTCCATCCAGGCCAGTGTGGGCCGGGCTTGCCGGGGGCTGCTCCGGGGCAAGCTGTTAAACTTGCTGGGCTCCTCGGGGCTGCCGGTGGAACTCTCCAGGAAGGTCAGCAGCTCCCGGTCAGCAAAGGCGCCCAGGGAAAGGCGAGAGCGGCGGGCGTTAGGAGGTCGGTAGGAAGGGCTGACGGGCCTGGGCTGCAGGAAGGGGGGCAGGTCCTCTGTGCCCTTCTTGGTCAGCAGCTCCACATCATTCTCACTGCTGCTCCGGCAGAAGCCCCCGAGCTCCCCAGCTGCCCAGGAGCGACGCTTCTGCTCCCGCTCCTTCAGCCGCTGCAGCTGTCTCAGCTCCTGCACCGCTCGGTCCTGGTTGTCCTGAACGAGGGGTGGAGAGAAGCCCCAAGACGCATGAGACGTGTGGAACGTGTGTGCAACTCCAGAGCCACCTGCCCTAAGACTCCAGTGAGATATACACGCAGGGAGGAGAGCCCAGCGTAAGCTTCACCAAGAGAGATACTGGTGTTTGCACCTGTGTGGGTGTGGACAGGGCTAGTTCTCCCAAAGCTGCGTGGGGGTGGCCCCACCAATCTAAGCTTATCATCCCTGGGCCCAACTTGCAGCTTTCCAGTCAAGGCACTGTCCTCTAAATGTAGGCTGTGATTCCACACATGCCTGCCACCTCATTTCCAAGGGAACCCAACTTGGCTTCTAAGCAGGGCAAGATGGAAAGGACTTCCAGGGAAGGGGGAGTTAAGCAATGGCGGAGAGGGAAAAAAAGGAGTCAGAGATCAAACCTCCCTGGGGCATCTGTGTTGACTGCATCTACACACACACGAGCAGCACATTCTACTTAACGCTTTGGATGCATAAATGTATATGCTAGATATTAAGAGATGCCTTTCAAATCTCTGTTCCCTGAATGCTCTTCAGTAAAGAACACCAGAGAGGTCATGTTGGCTCTGTCCCTCATGCTCCACCCCCTTCCACAATCAGACAAGATGATTTGCTTTATAAATCCTTCGATTACCCTTCACCCAGCTCCAAGTACCCAGGCCTCACCCCAGCAAAACTGAACCAGAACAAATGTATATGCTAAAGCACATTTTACCAGCTGGCTGTGCACTTTAAATATATTTGTATCACCTAAATACATCTGTATCGTTGCAGCCCGGTCCTCTCCGCTCTCGCCATTGGCTCTGGGGATTAAGGAGCATGAGCTGGTGACAGGACTGGCTCAGTTCGACCTCCAGGGACCCAAGGGCCCAGAGGAGGTGCCCTGGCTGACCCTGGATGACCTCAGCTCCGTGGAGCCTGTGTCTCTGGGGAATGGGAGCATGCAGTCCCTCGGTGCCAAGTCCCTCGGATCTCACAAGCCACGCCTGTTATTGGTAGTACTTTTTACTTGAAGATCAATTTCCTCAAATGGTGGACTTCCCCTCCAAGTTTCCTCGAAACTCTGGCTCTGGCTGGGGAGGCATGGCCCTTCCTGCAGCTCTGGTCCAGCCTCTCCAGTGTCCCAGGTCCTCCAGGCCCTCTCCCCGAAAGCTGCCTGCGGTGGGAGTGGGGCCAGGTCCTGGCGCTCAGAACAGCTGGGCGGAGAGAATCGCACGGGTGGCCTCTTGGGCCTGCAGAATTCTGACAGGGAGTGAGGGCCTCAGAAAGAGCCAGTTTGGCCTCTACCACCCACCACCGCCCACCTCTGCTGAGCTCACTGCTTGGACAAGGGAGAGGAAACGTGGCCACAGGCTCAGCCTCCTTCTCTTAGCTGGAGAGAGGAAGGAGGGGTTGAGGACTCAAGTCACTCTGGCCTACTCAGGGCTGGAGGGAAATGTGACCAGTCCCGCAAAGGAATTCAGCTATGGACAAACCTGCATTTAAATACGGGGGAGGGATAACGCACACAAGTATTTGGTTCCTCACCACCACCTGAAGTAAAGGGATGTCGTTTTGTCTTTAACGGACAGATGAGAAGTTGTATTTGCAAAGCCAAGGAACCCAGAGTTTTCTGGCTCCTACACTGAACCCAGAGATGACTGGAATTGGAGGCTAAAGGGCAAGAAACGTGGCCGTATTGCTCAGACGGCAGCAGACCCCTAAGCGCTTGAGGATTTCTAAGCCTGCTCTGGCTGAGGAGGACACGGTTTCTGCGGTGCCCACTGCCTGGCAATAGCCGTGGTGCCCGAAACAGGTGAGAGAACACCTTCCAATCATCCCACCGCAACAAAGGGTTCCCCCAAAGGGGAAATTCTCTCCTGGGGAGGTGGGGGAGGGAGACACTCAGGATCTTCAAAGAAACTTGTTAATATCACAGCTGCCATCATAGATGAACTTTACTAACATAACGCTTTCAGGGCATCAAAGCAGGTGTTGGTGTGAGCAGCACCGTAGCGGAGGAAGCCAACGCTGGGCTCCCGGCGACCGGGAGGTGCTCGGGGCCAGGATGGCACAGACACTTCCCAGTAACCCCAACTGAGAGCATGGCAATGCTGCCTGAGCCAGACTTCCCTGAAAGCGTGGAAATGCTGACCCATCTTTCTGCCAGGGACAGAGGGCTGGGTGCAGAAAGTGAAAAACAAAAATCCAAACAACTCAGAAAACAGGGAGATGCCATCGGCCATACCTTAACCGCTTTGTTGAATTTGACACAAAAATCTCTAAAGATCTGAAGGCACTCGTCCAGTTTCATGGTTTCTTTGTCTTCACAGAAAAAGTCTATAAGGGTGTGGGCCTCGTCCTGGAGCTCTTGCTTCCAGCGCTCCAGTTCTGTCAGCTTTTCCACAGCGAACTGCGGGAAAACAAACAAGCACACACTCAAGTCAACAGCAGTGAGGAGACTCTCTGTGCGCCGTCTAGTGCCCGGGGAAGCCGTGCTCCTGGGCTCAATTTCAAGTCGAGAAGGGAAGGTGGATTGCAAACCCAATGCACTCAGAGCCAAAAGGAAAATAATTCAACCCAAACAAAGCCCTGGGGAAGCAAGGTGAACTCCTGTGTAAAGGCCTAGAAGCAACAAATGAGCCTAAAGAGCTTTAATCTACAGAATGCCTCTGACAAAATGGTGGCCTTTAAGGCTACTGAAAAATGACATAGGCGTAACGTTGGTTTTATTAAGGAAAACTCATTCTGTATCTGTTCTTCCTTCTAAGTGAGTCTTGGGGCGCCCAGGTGGCTCAGACGGTTGAGTGTCGTCGGACTTTGGCTCAGGTCATCATCTCATTGTGAGTTCGAGACCCACCACTGGGCTCGCTATTGTCAGCACAGAGCCCACCTTGGATCCTCTGTCCCCTTTCTCTCTCTCTCTCTCTCTCTCAAAAATACATAAACATTAAAAAAAAGGTCTGATATTGGCCAAGGGTTCACTTCAGGGTGCCAAAAGTCACTCGTACTGATGAGTTATCCTGTGGAGGAGGAGTTTAAGCCTCACCTCTAGTGACCTGTATCAGGGTCAGTGTCATCCCATAGGACTGGAAGCCCCTGTGCCTAGACAAATGCCCCAGCCAAGACTTCCTAACCATGGTGCTTATCCAAGTCAGCTCAGAAGCTGTGTCGACAGTGCATGCTCATACCCCACCCATGCGATTCAGTACGTCTGAGGTGTAACTGCCACTGGTATTTTATTAAAACTGCAGGAGACCCCGATGAGCCCCCATGGACAGGAATTACTGCCCTACACAAATCCTCTACACAAATCACCTCCTCCTCATTCTTCCAGGACAAAGTCTCCAGTGCCCCTATAGATTCAGGTGCCGAACACAACAAAGAAACAGAAACGAAAGAGGTTTGCTCTCCTCCAGTGAGCTCTCAGCCCTTTCAGGATGGGGACCTATCAGGCGCACGAGCACACTTCCCTGACATGTTGGGGACATTTCATGTTGAGCTGAAATGAGGAAGCAGCAGGTTAGAGGAGCCACAGCCGCATGGGGACCAAATTGCTTGGGATCACACTCAAGTCAACCTTCTTTTTCACCAGGGAACAAGGCTTATGTGAAGAAGGAATGCGTGAAGTACGTGACTTTATAAATCACACAGATCTTGTTCTTAAAAAGGCTTCTATTTGAGACACTTCCTTTGAGTGGAAGGACCGGCCTAGGAAATGTGAAGCGATGGACTGCCCACCCTCAGGGAGTGGGATCGCTGCTGAAACATGCTTGGAGAAGGAAGAGAAGTTCTGAGGAGACACGTCACCTCTCACCCACTCCCACACACTCTCCCCCATAAGAGTCCTTTCCTTACACCAAACACACTCAAGAGGTAGCAGGAAACCAAAACTATTCAGGAAACGAGATACCAGAGAAAGTAACCATCTGAGTCAGTAGCCCGAGGCAGTGTGCGCATTCGTGCTGCATTATTCTTTATGGAGAGAAGGGTATTCATGAAAAGATAAATCTTTGCCTGTCATTCTTCCACAGGGGGAAAGGTGGATTCCAGCCAAGAAAAACTCAACAGCAGAAAAATAGGACTCTTGACAAGAATCTATCTACATGGGATAGATTAGCTTAGCTCCTCCTCCCATGTCTCATCACTAGATCCTGTGGGGATCGAGAGAAAACCAGGAAGGAAAAACTTAACATGCACTGTGGTCACCCTTAGGACTTGGGAAAGTGAAACATTCCGAATATGGGTGTGAAAAATCACCCGGATCAGTCTTTTGCCAAGACTTAATTTTTGCAGTCAGGACCACAAATGGCCGTCCAGAGCCACTGGCCAAGTATACACTGGCCAAGTATAATGGACAAGGTATCAGTAGCCGTGCCAGGAGACTCCACTTTCCGTGTCTCACTTGTTTGCTCCAGACTAAAGTTCCAAAGCAATGTATTCGTTATTTCTTGCCCAGAGGGTCAAAATACTGAAAGAGATTTGCAAGACTGTGTTCTTGTCTTTTCTCTGCTCAAAAAACTTCAATGTTTCCCCATGGCTAAGAGCACAAAGTCCAACGTTTTCCCTTCATGGCCTGACCCTACCCTACCTTATAAAATTAATACCTGCCCCCCCCCCCACCATTTAAAAAGAAATTGAATATAAAAAAGAAAAATAAATAGCTGTATGAGAACATTTTATTTACAAAGATAAAAATGATTACGAGAAAGAAGCATTTAGAGTCAAATAAGGATGCCTTTAAAGAGCAGCCTAGAGGCACGGCTAAGACAGAGCTGCTTTCAATTATAAACTGCCAAGTTTTCTGTAGCATAAAATACTCTGCCATATAGCCAAATATCTTTGAAAGAGATCCAGGATTCACCACTGTGGGATGAGATGGGTTCTCCTCTCCTGTGGGATGGGCCTTTCTGGTTTAATTTTGTCTGTATGCTACTGCTAAGAGCTTTCCTACCTGTTAGACCGTAATTTTTTTTTTGATGTATGTTTATTTTTGAGAGAGAGAGAGAGAGAGAGAGAGAGAGTGAGGGGATGAGGTGGGGGGCAGAGAGAGAGAGGGAGACAGAAGCAGAATCCGAAGCAGGCTCCAGGCTCCTCGTCAGCACAGAGCTGTGAGCCCTGATGGGGCTCAGAATCCCTAGACAACAGATCATTTCAGGAGACTACAGACCAGAGCCAAGTTGGGGACGGAGGCTTAACCAACTGAGTCACCCAGGTACCCCAGCTTTCCTACCTGTTAGGTATTTTATGGTGGTGTTTGCATTGTGGAGAAAAATCTGTGCACTTTAAACAGAGTATTTGTTTGGTTATATCTGAAAGAAAATACATATTTAATCATAAAAATAAACGTGCAGCAGAACCAAACAAAGTGTTTGCTGATGGGAGCTGCAACTTCCAATATTTGATGTAGCTTAATTCCGAGGAAACGAGTGAAAGCTGAGGTTGGCAGGACCTTCGGAGCATGCCGTTCCCGGCACCAAGGGTGGCCGTGCCGCACATGTGCCACCTCGAAAGGCGCAAAGCACGGATACTGACGGTAGCATACCACTTCCCTGGAGACCAAAAGCATGCAAAGCTGCCCCTTTTTTTTAAATAAGGAAGATACGAGAAGTATGTCAGACTATGTGATTAGTGAGTCACAGTGAGCTGTCACAAACACGTCCACTCGGCTGTTTTTCGTTGATGTTATTCAGAGCAGCTCCCGACACACCCTGTGCGGCTTGATGTGTTTGGGGTGTTGATAGTCACGGCTATCGTGTGTGCTCCCATTCTCATTATGAAAACATGCCAAAACCTGGCTTGTTTCTTGAATAAAAACAAGTGAAGGAACAACAGCCCAAGTTCTCAGGTGTCTATGATTTCCGTGGAACTCCCTTCTGTCGTCCAAAAGTTGGATTAGGAGGCAAGAACTCGTACGCTGCGGTTTCGAAGCAAAACCTGAGCTGCCACACATATGCCGCCAAGGGTCAGCACCACATGCCGATACCAGTTGGCTACAGCGCGGGGCAATGATGGACGGGGAGCAGGGGTAAAGGGAGGCCAGCCCTAAACAAACACCTTACGTGCAGACCTCATTCGACAACGCCTGCCAGAAAACCAATGCGGCAAGGAATGGGCATTGAAATACAAAGTTCCTTCTACTGAGCTGGGGAAAAAAATATATGAACCGGAACCCGCTGCTTCCACAAACGCGTGCAGATTTAACCAGCCCTGCCGGGTGCCTGGAGCCGAAACGAGAGACGGACTCAAATCACCCACAAACCTGAAGGAAATCTTCCACCTGCTGACAAAGTTCACCATCCCGCTGAATGTTTTCCCTCAGAGATCTCGTCCTGATAAAGAGCGAGCGCAGTTCTGCCTCCGTGTTATCCAGAGATAATCTGAAAGAAGAAAGGGGAGAGAGTGGGCAGTTGGCACAGGGAAGCCATGTGTCACACAGGCACGTCAAATGAGACTAGCCATTGGTCAAACCAAAAACAGAAGGGCAGAACTACCGCGATGACATTTACCACCCCTGTACTTAGACTCAGATACTTAGACTTCCCTCTGGAACCAATGCAAAAGCTCTAACTCACGGAAAGCAAGGCAGTGTAGACATTAAGGGCAATAAGGAGATACTAAGCAGACTTCATGCGGCCACAGACAGCCAGAGTAAGCACTCGGTATTTCAGAGAGAACTAATCATGCAGCTAACAATTCTGCAAAGAAATGACAGAACTGATCACAAGGCCTTTGTTACATACATCACATCAAGACTGGTAGTGCACTGAGTGATATTTTTGTCACCAGGTAAAGTGAATAGGTGATACCTAAAACCCAGTGCAATTCACTTAGCAAATTCATAGACTAGAATGCTTTCCTGCTTCTATCGCAAATTCTAACTTTTCGTCGTGCAATCACGTTTTCCACCTTCACTGGTCGTCAGCATCCATTTATGATCTGTCTGTACTTCACCAGGATACCTCATCTTCTATTTCAAAGAAACAAACTTTACTGACTAGGTTTTTTTCTAAGACAGCATCTAGCTAAACTTTCCCATCTAACCAGAAATGTCAGAACAAAAATGTAATGATTATTTGTATGTACACCTCTTAGTAACATTTCTATACTAGTCAGAGGAAAAAATATTCTCACACAAGTTTCTTTCAGAAATTCAAACCCGAAACAGTTTATATCTTTTAAGATGCTCGTTCTTTGGGGGAATAATCTGAAAATCTATAAACAGGAACTATGAACTATTCACAACTTTGGACCAATAATTTCCCTTTGGGAAAGACATGTAATCTGTGGCTAGATGTTCACAGTTAATAATACTGAGCCACTGGCCAATGACAGGGCTTAGCTTGAAAAGCTGCGGCTTGTGTATTTATGCATATGGTTCATGGCTCCCCTAACTAGAAACAGTCACACAGATAACAAGCAGGTAACACGAAGGGTGCCGGAGCCAGCTTGCAAGAGGCCACTGTGGGTGTTGGCATCCCCTCCCAGCTCCTCCCTCAGTAAGGCCACACGGGTAGCTTGAAATCTGCCACCATAGCAGTATTTACACTATGGAAATCAGCAGGTGCTACAAATTAGGGCTTCTTTCTGGGAAAGCTGGTTATTGAACATTTACCACTGGATACATACATATGTGCTGTAAATTTAAAAACACGGAACTCTGGGGATCCTGGGTGGCTCAGCTGGTTGAGGGTCCGACTCTTGATTTTGGGTCAGGTTGTGATCTCACAGCTCATGAGTTCGAGCCCCACATCAGGCTCTGCACTGACATGACAATGCGGAGCCTGCCTGGGATTCCCTCTCTCCCTCTCTCTCCACCCCTCCCGTGCTCTCTCTCAAAATAAATAAACTTACAAAAAATAAAAGCAAGGAACTCAACATAGTACATATACACAGATTATAGCTACATTAAAACACACATTTACACTGGGATAAGAAGCAAATTAAAGTGACATAAACACAGCTTTATGTTCGGTAGCTACTTTCTCTGTTGAGTGACGAATTTAAATACAATCCTTTCACAACCCTTGGTATGGTTCCAACTTCTTCTAATGCAATAGAAAATCAATGTACCATGTTAGATTCTACAGGGAAACAGCCCTGGACGTTTGACTGATATATGCCAACTCCCGAGGTAATAGGCTGTGTTGTTTGAGCTCTACCTGTTGGGTGTGGAGGGATTTGAAGTTCTCAATCCATACTGTTTTTACACTGATGATATTCATTAGGAAAGACTGAAATGGGGTTTTCAGCTTAAAAATAAAAGATTAAGTTTTCAAAACCCCCAATTTCCAAAGATGCACACACACCTCTGTAAGCAAATAAAAGAAAGGTCTGAAAATTCAACAAGACAAAACTTTTTAAAGTTATAATACCTTCACCAGTTTTCATTAAAAAATAGCTTCAAAAAATGTGAATCTTGGGGTGCCTGGGTGGCGCAGTCGGTTAAGCGTCCGACTTCAGCCAGGTCACGATCTCGCGGTCCGGGAGTTCGAGCCCCGCGTCAGGCTCTGGGCTGATAGCTCGGAGCCTGGAGCCTGTTTCCGATTGTGTCTCCCTCTCTCTCTGCCCCTCCCCCGTTCATGCTCTGTCTCTCTCTGTCCCAAAAATAAATAAACGTTGAAAAAAAAAAAAATGTGAATCTTACAATTCACTTTCAGTCTTCCTTGCTTACCTAGCAGCCTCCTGAACGTGATGCAATTTTTCAGAAAAGTTTAGAAGAATGGCATCTTTCTTTTGGGCTTCCTAGAATAAAAACAGAATTTTCTCTCACTGTATGTATAAAACTGGAAGGAAACAATTTTCCCAAGGCTTAAAGGAACCTTAAAGTTCTTGTTTTTATGCTTGGTATATTCAAAGCAATTCACTGAAACATGAACTCTGATATTGTTAACAAGATTTGCCAGAACTCCCCTACTCTCAAGATATATGTAACTTCCCAGAGCAACCGATCCTGACGTGAAATACAATTCACGTGCATGCAGAGTCAATGCAAGTGGGTGGTAGCTTAGCAGGGCCCATTGTTTCTAAGAGAATCCAATAAATCCTGCTTAAATACCACCCATACCTATGAGTGTGCCTGTATACGACCAAGATACCTTCAGCTGTTAAACCAGTTTGCAAAGTGACTTTAATCAGAAGGTGCGCAAGCCATGGAGGTATTTGCATTCTTCATCTGCTCAGAGGATACAAGGAAGGTAGGTATGAAGGAAGCAATCACCAACTCCGGAAACATCCCCACATGGGTAGGGACCAAGTTACAGAGAGCACCTGGATACGTGGATCTAAAAGGACTGCCAGGGGAGCACCGGGTGGCTCATTTGGTTAAGCGTCTGACTCTTCATTTTGGCCTAGGTCAGGATCTTACAGTTCGTCAGACCGAGCCCCATGCTGGGCTCTGAGCTGACAGCACAGAGCCTGCTTGGAATTCTCTCCCTCTCTTTGCCCCTCCCCCCACTCACACGCTTTTCTCTCAAAAAAAACAAAACCAAAACCAAAACGACAACAACAAAAACCTTTTAAATAAATAAATAAAAGAACTGCCAGAAGGCTACCTTCAAGGCACATAGGGTAAGGAAGACATTTTCTGGTTTTAATGCCCTGAAAATTAACTTTTAAATTAGCCCTGAGTTCAACATGTCCTTTGTCTTCTGAAGAATGTCATAATAATTGTGTGTATTATTTATGGAGCGCTTACTCTGTGCCAAACACGAGTCTGGCACGTTATGAAATGATCCCCTTCAACCCTGTTGGTTACCTGTTTTGCAGTATCACTAGCCCCATGATTAGATGAAGAAATTGAAGGTCTTAATGTTTCAGTAACTTGTCTGAGGAAGTACAGCTAATAAAGGACAAGTCAAAATCCTAATTCCATCCTGTTCTGAAGCTCACACTAGAAACAAGCCCAGCTTCCTCCCCAGCTTAAACCTACATCTGTGTGATTGCTGTCAAAACAACAAAGGTGATCCAGTGAAGGAAAAACAAATCGATGTAATTCGTAATTTGAGATAATTTAACAACAAAGAGGCAACTGTCTTTGGCTGACTTTCCACTTTGTAATTGGTTGTTTCGGTATCACAAAGACCCAGTCAGAAATGGAGGTGATGGACAGGGGGAAGATACCAAACCCTGTGCTCGTGGCAAGGCGAGCTAACCTATAGTTCACAGAGGGACACCGGTGGAGGTGATTTTTTTCATTGCTCTGACCCCTTCACTCTACACTTACAAATCTAGTCAACCCAACACTGGGAATGTCTCACACCCAGGCCTCTGCTCTCCATCCGCGTGGCTAGGACTCTGATTCTCAGCTCTTGCCAAGCGATCAGAGCCAACTTCTGCCAAGAGGTGCCCTATTTCTAGTTCTCTCTCCACTGCAGCCCATTCTCATTATTGCCTTATTTTCCTAAAAACAAAGCCAACCTGCTCATGCCATTATGCCGTGCATGAACTTCTGTTGGCTCCAAAACGCTACAGCATGAATCCAAATTCCCCAGCATTTAGGATGTGAACCCTTCATAATCGGGTTTTGCCAACCCTGTCCCCTGCCTCCCCCACCCCCTCCTCTTTCCTACTGTCCTACAACCCTAGGCACAGTTCAGCTCAGGAATCTGCAGAGTGCTTCTGCAAACAGAACCTTCTTAGAACCCACCACACCCTTTCCTATTTCCGTGTGATGCCCCCTTACACCTGGGAAAAACCTCCCCACCTCCGGGGACGATTCACACTCATTCTCTCTCTGAAGTCACCATTTCCACATACCTGTGCAACAAAGTGCAGAAGATTCATCCCAGGCTTGTTTGCTTTTGTGTCTGCCAATTTGAGCAAAGAAGACAATTTAAATCCTACTGCATTGCCAGCATACCCTCCCTAAAGAAGACAAATCAAAAGAAAAAATATATACATATACCTCTGCACAGACAAATAAAGTGAGAAACGCAACATTTTAATGCTTTTGAATTTTACTTACTGCATTCATGATGTTCCCCGCCTGCAGCACCAAGTGTAATATTGAATGTAGCTCCTCACACAGCATCAGCTCTGTCAAAAAAGAACACACCACAGTCCCTTCAGCTTAAATGCACACGACAGCGACCACATCCAAGTTCAGGAGAGTCTGAAGCAAACTCTGACCCTACACTGCATGCAAAAACTGGAGGAAACAAATAAAGCAGCACATGCTGTGGTAGATCTAATGCACCATTTGCTACCGGTAATCCACGTCCTAGTGTTTACCTGGGAATCGAATAGGTATGATAGTTAAGTTTCACAAAATACTTCCATAATGAAAGGTTTCAAGTAGTGGAAAATGCAAAGGCCTTATGAAAAGCAGCATACTGTTACAGGAATAACCTTTTTCTCAGCAATTGTTTATTTTTTCCCTTTATATCCATTAGCCTTTGAGACTACATTTATAGAACCTGCAAACAGAGAGCAACATTCTGCTTAGTCGAGGAGCTACAAGGAGATAAAAAATAAACAGGTTGGGATGGCATGTAAATAACTTGCAAAGCACTAACCCTCAGGGGCCAAGCACCCAGAGAATCTGTTTATTTTATTCAAAACTATACATTTCATTTGGATTGGCTTAAAGGTTAAAAAGGAGCTTCTCACTGTAATATATTTTTAAATTAGCTCTTTATTTTTATTTATTTTTTTAATGTTCATTTTAGAGAGAGAGAGAGAGAGGGGAAAGTGAGCAGGGGAGGGGCAAAGAGAGAGGGGGCAGAGAATCTGAAATGGGCTTCAAGGTGTCAGCACAGAGCCCAGTGTAGGGCTCAAACCCTTGAACCATGAGATCATGACCTGGGCCAAAGTCAGACACTTAACCGACTGAGCCACTCAAGTGCCCATTTAAATTAGTTCTTTAACAAACACAGAGGCTTTTGTACACACATCTGTGCAAATAAACAGTATTAAAAATTGTTAATGTATTTAAGAAGCTAAAAAAAAGCTTATTAAAATTACACGATATATAGAAAATAAAATGTCACCCATGATTTTTTTAAGTTCATATTCTCCAATAAGTGTGGTATTACTTACAAAAACTTACATTTGGACCATTGCCTGTATTATGTTATCTAAGAAGGCCAGTATTTCAAGGTTAACCAGATAAGAAACGTTTCCACCGTGCCCACAAATTTGCCTTGCTCATTATGAAAACTATTCCTCCAACTCGATTTGAAGAGGAAGAACAACTCTTCCAACATTGCTGCGATAGCCTTAGTGTACAGGAAAAAATTAAAAAAAAAATTTTTTTAATGTTTATTATTTTTGAGGGAGAGAGAGAGAGAGGCAGAGTGCAAGTGGGGGAGGGGCAAAGAGAGAGGAAAACACAGAGTATGATATGTGCTCCAGGCTCTGATCTGTCAGCACAGAGTCCAAAGCAGGGCTCAAACCCACGAACGGCAAAGATCATGACCTGAACCGAGTTGGATGCTTAACTGACTGAGCTACCCCAGGCGCCTCCAGGAAAAAATTCTAAAAGGCCTCTCTACTGAAAGAAGAAAAATCGTCCTTAATTCTTAGTCTCCTCTCTAAAATGAATACGATGGACTGAAGAGAAACATTTTATCTCAACACAGACCAGAGCAACTAAACAGGAAAATCAAATAGGAATCAACAGTTCTACTCTTAACTGATAACTAGAAATCTAGAAAACAACCAAGAGGAAATCAGGCTGGCCCTGAAAACCCTGGAAAATGTGAGGGGTAGGGAGCATCAGGGACTCTGCCTTGGAGATGAGGAGTGCCCACACACATTCGAGGCCTGCCTGCTCAGCGCCAGAAATGCCAGAAGGCCAAACCTCATCACTGTGGAGTGAGACAGCAGAGCAACTCTCAGGAGTCTATCCAAGCTGCGTAAGCAAGCTATTCAAAGAAACAGACATAACCCATTGGCTGCTCTCAAATGTAAATAGCCCACCAGGTGTTAGAGTCTTGAGAGGAAGCAGGTGGGAGAGGAAACAGGGGGCAGAACTATCAGGAACCTGAAGAAGAGTCATGCTGGAGATGCCCAGGAGGAGTCAGGGGCCAGGAGGTATGCTTCCAGCAAAGCAGGTCCTGGACAGCAGGGGCCAGAGGGTGGGAGGAAAAATGCAGCTGGCCTAGGCGCCCAGGCTTTGAGCAGGAGCCAGCACCCACATGCAGTCACTACACACTGCATAGTCACAGAGAGCTGACCTGGGAGAGGAACAAGAGCAAGCTGCAAGCAGCAAGGCTTACTCTGAAGCTTGGGATGAAAGAAACCTTCTTCTACAGGAGGATAATATGCTCACTGATGGGTTAATTGGCTAATTAATTGACTAATTAATCAATTAATCACTTAGGGAGGAAAGTAAATGGAAATAAACCTTAATTGTCATCCCAGGTAATATCTCATTTCCCTTTTTAGGGTGTAGCAGATCTAGGCGCTTGCACTTCTAATTTCAATTGAATAGTTTTTATTTATTTTTTTAAATTTTTATTTTTTACCGTTTTATTTTTTTTTTTAATTTTTTTTTTCAACGTTTTTATTTAT